CATTCCTTCCTATATGTACCATCTAATACCCAATTACTCCATTGAAAATTGTCTTCAATTTGTGTGTCTTACTGCCTATCTCATTCGAACCAACTTACCTTCTTTTCTAAGCATTCTGCAAATTTCAACTGCTTCAACAGCTTCTTCTGCTTGTTGCTGAAGCGATTGTCCTGTTCTGCACTTGTTCCCTAAAGCACAGGAAATAAGAGTTGAATGTCATACAGACTAAAAATATCTTCAAGTATTAGTTTCCCACATATTTGCACCAGACAGTGCACAGCAACACCAGTCATACCATTCTGTAAGCAAATAAGCCTTTTCAGGTGCCTTTCAATTTTAGCACTGTAGTCTTCATCTACGCTAAATGGGTAAACAGGCTCCTGAGCTGTACAGTGACACCTTAATCATATAATCTCCCTGGCATACTACTTACAAATTTAAAAGTACAGTAGTATCAAATTGCTATGAAAAGGACATATGTTGGAATTCACAAACTTCTCAGAAGGAATAAGCTCTTTCTCCTCTGTCCAAGAACAAAAATGTCATACTTGTTTACAGTGGCATCTATGAAACCTTTGGGTAAATTTCTCTGAAGCAAATCAGCCAACACAGAGCCAGCAAGGGTACAAAGAATACTATTTTATTGATCATGCTCTGTTGAAGTTCACCAACTCGTTCCACTTTCATGAACAGAAACTATAGGTTAATTCATTTGGAATTGAAAGGCTTGAAAGTCCAGTTCTGGAAAATTTACTTGCACAGAAGTAAACAGAACCACACATTAACAAGAGTATGTGCAGAACTGCATCCAAATACTGATGACCTGTTAATGATTCAAAACAAACCCACAGTTCACATGTGAAGTTAAGTTGATTCAGGAAACCAGCCTGACTGATGGAAAACACAGGAATTTAATACATGCAATTTCCTATGCACAGAAGAAGAGGTTGAGTGCCAGTAAAAATATCAGCTGCTAAGAAACCAAAAGATAATAAATAAGAAAGAGCTCAAATTCTAAGGTAACCCCAACTACTTCATTTGATCAGAAAGCACCTGGAATTAGCAACATAACATGCTATGAAATCATCAGATATTGAAAGGGAACAATATCCTAAAGACTGATTGTGGCACAGGCACTTGCCAGGATTAAGTCTGTTTAAAACTCTCAATAATATTTGCAGCCTACTGCGTGGCTTACACACTAGCAACAAACGCAATACTTGTCAGATCACTCAAGAATTTAATGTTCTATATTATTTTTTTTTTTTTAATTCTGTCTTTCACAACCCAGAAGTGGAAAGGAACAAATTTTTTCTTGGCCTGTTTATAACACATGGCAAGCAGCAAGGGTAACCAAACAAGACACAGAGAACAGTGTCACAGGAATTTCAAGGCAGAGACAAAACAGCCTACACTGACAACTTTACAGAAGTGTGAAGAACTGCAAGAATTATTAACAGCAGCTTTCTTAATATGGCGAGTTCAAACTGCTGCTCTGTTGCACTTTTGTCATTTCCACAAGAACTTTGGTTTCTCCTGAACCCAGACTAAAACCAGAACAGAACACGGTTTACAGCCCCATTTCAGTGCCATGTTGCTTTTGTTTTTATAAACAGCCACCTTTCACAGGCCAGTTTAAAAGAACATTAGATTTCTAATTCAGTGTTTTCAGTCCCAGTAATTCTGCTGTCATTTACAACTACTTGTAACCTTTTTAAACATTGCATTAGACAGAACAAGTGTAGTTTTAGCTTGTTAATTATTTTTCTCAAGCTAGTATGTTAACACAAAATTGAATTAAGTGAAGAGTTATGTGTGCCCTCATGTTTTAAAACCATCCTAGTTGCAGGACTAAAAATAATAGGGCTGAACAGCTGAATGAATCTTGGAAAATTGGTTTTCAAAGTTGTCAAGGAACACCCCAAAAATAGGTTCATTTTAATTAATGGAAGAAAAAGCTGAAAATAAATATACCCTAGGTAGGTTACTGTTTACTAGTATCTGCAGAATATACAGCACAGCTGTAAGAATATTAGAGAAAAAGGCAGCAATCAAAAAAAAAATCAAATACCAACCTAAAAATAAAACATAACTTCTTTTTGCTTTGAATACACTTAAAAATCTTCACGTCACAGTTTAAAAATTCCTCTCTTAAAAAAAAAGGGCAGTTTTGTCCATTTCCTTTGAATGTGGACACCGAAGTGCCTTTCACTGCAAAACCGGGTTCACCTCCCATCTGCCCCTCGGCCTTTTCTCCCACACTTCCTCCCTGTAAAGGCCCGTCAGCTCGGCAGGCAGCCGTGACACAAGCCGGTACGGGGCAGACCCCGACGCGGTGGGACCCCTCTTCCTCTGGCGGGGTCGGAGCCCCTCCGGCCCCCAGGGCCTAACGCAGGAGCCGGTGGTCCCAAGCCGCACCGGAGTGCGGGGCCGGGTCGGGCGAACGCGGCCCCTAGAGACGGCGACGGAGCCCCGTACTGCGGGCACGTGTGCCCCCCCC